TCAACTAGAGAGAGCAAAGGAGGACTACAAACATTTTGCAGACTGACATCATCGCAATGTTCCGCCTTTAGCAGTAGGCAATAGGGTTTGGCTCTCTACTCGATACTTACCAACGACACGGCCATAGAAAAAGCTCGATCACCATTACTTGGGACCTTTTCTGGTCAAGGTGGTGATCAATCCTGTGGCTTTTCATTTCTCCCTGCCATGGACCATGCGTATCCATCCTGTTTTTCATCGCTCCCTGTTAGTCCCTGCCTCGGCCGACAGTCTGCATAGATCAGCTCCATCACAGCCAGGCTCAGTAGCCCCTCTGGGAGAGGTGGAGTACGAGGTGGAGAGTATCTGAGTTTCACGCCAGTTGCGGGGCCGATTTCAATATTTGGTGGCATGGAAAGGTTATGGACCAGAGGACTTCACCTGGGTTGATGCCACTGATGTTCATGCTCCTCATTTGGTCCATGACTTCCACTCTCACTTTCCTCAACTTCCTCATCCACCTGGTTCTGGGGAAGGGGCCCTGCAGGGGGTGATATTGTCATGCCCCTGGTGGAGACTGACTCTGAGGAAGAGTAGGAACAGCCAACAGGGAGTGGAAGTGTGGCTCCAGAGGTAGTGGAGAAGCCTGGGGTAGGGCAGAGGCTGGCTGAGCAATCAGAGGAGGATCCAGGCCCATCCCCTATCCATCCTAGGGCATCCTAGGAGAGGATCAGGAAAAGTGTGGTCTACTCGGGAGGAGAGGGCCACGATCCTCCTCATGGGTTGCAGCTGTGAGCTCTGTATAAGAGTTTGAAACTGCGTGTTCACAGGCGCTGAAGTCGAATTAGTGTTTTCCTTGGATGAGCTTTATCTTTGTTGGTGTTCTTCCCTTGGGCTCTCCCCGGGTATCTTCCTGGAATGTGTGATTAATTATCTTGGTTTGCCTTGGAACTCTCATCAATATGGTTTGTTTCTAGTTTCCTTTTGCTTCATTATCTACTTTTTGAATTTAAACTGTGACTAATAAAACAGCGAAGCTAAGTTGAAGGCATTGCAAGACCTTGATTCATGTTTTAGTTTTTGTGTTATTTTTGAGACACTACGGGTCATCACATTGGGTCACGATAACACAAATTAGGTGGCTATAAAATCTAGATACATTAAATACACGTTTTATGATTTTTTCTTCTTTGGAGTATGATTCTACATTGCTATAAGGTATTTAAATTGATGTTATTATTTTATTTTATTTCTCAATTGCATACAAGATAATAGAAATAAGTATAAACATGAGTAAGGATACAGGAAATAGGTACAAATAAATTGGGACAATAGGAGAGGGACAGGAGGCACGATGGTGCACTTATGCATGCCCCTTACAGACCTCTTAGGAATGGGGTGAGGTCAATAGTGGATAGCTTGAGGTTAAAGGAGTGGAGGTTTGAGTATGTAACAGCTGAGTCAGGTAGTGCATTCCAGTATTGACCACTCTGTTGCTGAAGTCATACTTTCTGCAATCAAGTTTGGAGCGGTTTACATTGAGTTTATATCTGTTGTGTGCTCTTGTATTGTTGCAGTTGAAGTTGAAGTAGTCATTGACTGGTAGGACATCATAGCAAATAATTTTGTGTGCTACACTTAAGTCCAGCCATAGGCAGCAATGTTCTAGGTTGTCCAAGCCCCAAATTTCAAGGGTATTCTGTTGCGAGCAGAGGAGTGTAGTATTCTTCTTGTGAAATACTTCTGGATTCGCTCAATTGTATTAATGTCCAATATACAGTGCGGATTCCAGACAGATGAGCTGTATTCGAGTATTGATCTAGCAAAGGTTTTGTATGCAATTAGCAATTCAATATTACTGGAGGAGAAGCTTTGTAAGATTAGATTTACAACTCTTAATGCCTTTTTGGCAATGCTGTTACAGTGAGCTCTGGCACTTAGGTCATTTGATATGAATACTCCAAGGTCCTTGAGAGAGTGAGGGTCGTCAACGAGGTGATATCCGTGTAGCTTGTATTTGGTGTACTTTTTTTTTTAACCAATTTGTAGGATAATTTGTTGGTCAAGATTTGGAGTTGCAAATTGTTTGACCATTCAGACTCATAATCAAGGTTGCTTTGAAATGCAGTAACATTGTCAGTGGTGTTGAATAGTTTTACATCATTTGCGAAGAGGACACAGTTGCTTATAAGGTGATCGCAAAAGTCATTTATGTAGAATATAAAGAGTGTGGGTCCTAGAATGCTGCCTTGGGGGACACCACTGTTAACTGGAGCAAGTTTGATACAGCGCTCCCTAATTTTACTATTTGTTGCCTGTTTGACAGGAATGCAGTAGGGATCCGGAAATGCCGTAAGAGTTTAGTTTTAACATTAGTTTATTGTGTACCACTGAATCAAAGGCTTTTGCAGAAGTCTATGTAAATTGCATCTGTTGCTTTACCCTGGTCGAGTAGAGTAGTTCATATATTTTTATAGTGTAGGAGTTGTAGATTGCAGGACAATTTTTTCCTGAAACCAAATTGGTTTTTGGGGAGTAGGTTGTTTGACTCTAAGTGGAGCGTAATGGATTGGTTGATTGATTCCATGACTTTGCACATTATGCAACACAGTGAGATTGGTCTGTAGTTTTCAACCAGGCTGGGGTCACCTTTTTTGAAAATAGGGATGACCATTGCTAAGGTCCATAGGTTCGGTAAGGAGCTGGTTCTGAATGATCTCATATATTATGCTTAGGGGTTCTGCTATGGCAATGGAGAGCTATTTTAAGAAGTATGCACATAATCTATCGGGGCCAATATATAGGGATGGTTTTAGGCTATGTAGTGCCTTTTCAACGTTATCTTCTATAAAGTCAATATGTAGTAGATCATTGCAGTTAGTTGTGTTACGACTAGGAAATGTGGGGCATGAGCCATTGCTGTTTACAAAGACTGAACTGAAGAACGTGTTGAAGAAGTTGGCCTTAACAGTTTCATTGCTGCAGTCTTTCCCATTTGGTCCTTTTAGGGGTGGGATGGTTCTTGAGTCTTTAAGCTTGGTGTTTACAAAATTGTAGAAGGTGCAGGTGGATTTTGTGCATAGGAGTTTTTTCTCTTGCTTGCACTGATAATTGGTGCATTCTGCCTTCATCTGTCAGCATAAGGTGTTGTATCAGTTTTTAAAGTTTGCTATGTAGCTAGTTTTTTTTAACGCCATAGCAATTTTTTCAAATTGAAGTTTCCATATTGTTATGGGTAATTTTTTTTTGGGGGGGGGGGGGGGTTGGTACATAAAATTTGATGACTCTTTCAAGTTCAAGCAAGAATGCATTATAATAGTCTTCTGTAGTATTACAGCTAGAGAACAGAACGTGCCAATCAAGAGATGGTAGGTCGGCAGATATGAGATCATAGTTGGCTTTTTTGAAGTTGTATTTGGGGAATCTATCATTACGATCCTCTTTGTGAGGGCGTAAATTTAGACAAAAGTCAATCATGCTGTGGTCACTGTTTGAAAAGGGTTCTTGTATTTTTAGGCCATAGATTAAGTTTGAGCTGTTGCAGATGAGGTTGAGGTAGTTGTTGAGTCTAGTGTTGTTAGTTACTAATTGATCCAGTCCCAGTGTCGTAACAGCATTGTACAGGGTTGCATGCATAGGTTCGGATGTACATTCATTTAGGATCCAATTTATAAGAGGTAGATTGAGGTCACCAATGAAAATAAGAGGCTGTGGGCACGAGGTAGCCCATGTTAGCAGTGAAGTTAGCTTGTTAGCTTGTTAGCTTGTTTGCATGAACTATGTCATAATCAGAGGTTCTGTAGCATAGTAAGAAGCAGATTGTGGGATTTAAGGACAGTTCACAGACTATGGTCTTTGGAAGAGCAAGCTCCTGTGTAATTTGAATTTTTTTAAGATTTAGGGACTATATATAGAAGATAGCAACTTCACCTCCTCTACGGATTTCGCGATCTGACCGATAAACGTGATATTCTCTGATTGTGGTAATGGAGTCTGGAAAAGATGCATTCAACCACGTCTCACAGACAAATATGTCGAATGTGGCCATGCTTAGTAGGATGAGGAATTCATGCATTTTGTTTGCGAGGCTTCTTGCGTTGAGTAGTTTGCATTTAAGATATGTAGTAGTGGGTCTGGAGGATGTAAGGGGCCTGCATGTCTAAAGTTGGATGTTGCGGTGATGGTTATTGGGACGTAAGTTGAAGGTCTTTTGATATATTATGTGCGGTAGTCAATGTATTTCCTAGTTTGTGGAGTCTTTTGAGCTCAGAACATAGTTCACGGGATTGTACACATTGTTGTAAGGTTAGGTCAGGACAAGAACGAAGATTCTTACAGTTGGTATTACTCTTGGTGAGTGAATCATTTTTGCAAACAACCCTGCAGAAGCGTGGAGCCACCGAGCCGTCACTGTTTTTGAACTCTGGGCCAATGTGGGAAATGTTGAGTATTTCATCAGAGGAGATGGTTGATGCTTGATAGTCACTGATGATGTTGCCGACATTTGTGATGTCATCATTGTCATTGTTGTCCTCTCTAGACCAAATAAGATGGCTGTTGGGATGCTTCCGTTCACGCTCAATGGCATTATTATTATGTTAAATTATTATTATTATATGAGAAGCATTATTTCCTAACAGGACAGTGCAGTTCTATAAGAAGGACAGCCACAATCTTGACCACTAGCTTTCAAAATTGTATGCTAAGCATTTGAAGAGCAGTGTGGCAGGGATAGCTTATAAGATATATGGGCACCTGTTGAAAATGTTTGTATTTCAGTTCCTTTATAAAATTGGAAAGATATTCGTTTATTTTGTATCGCCAGTTTGGTTCATACATTGTTTTAATTTTTTTAAAAAAACTATGAGCTACTTATTGCAGTCCAATTCACCTATAAAGCAAAGCTGTTGTGGTAAACCAAAAGCAAACAATCTATGTAAATACTTCACACAATATATTAACGTGACCAATAAGATTCTTAGAACGTTTTAATGAGTTTAATTAGTATTTACTGCTTGTAGGGGACATTTTGCAGAACTACTCAGCTACTGGCAGCTTCTTGGGAAAGATAAGAGCTCCATGGCAGTAGAATATTTAAGTTCTCTGAAGTTATATGAGAAAAATTGTGAAGGAGAAGAAAGCATGATCTGTTTGGCTGATCTTTATGAGACCCTGGGGCAATTTCTAAAAGACCTAGGTCTTCTCAGTCAGGTAAGTACCTCTCCAGAAAAGAAGACACATTCAGATCTCTGTTTTTCCAGTGGCATATGTAGAATCAGATTTCCGGAGAAACTTGAGTTTTTACTTTCATTTAAATATGCTTCTTATTTTTCATGATTATGGAAATTTGACAATAGATATAAGATATCTGTATCAGTTTAGCCATGTGATTGATTAATCAATGCAACTGATTTCATGTTATCATTTTTACTGAACCAAACTACCTCATGTAGAATTCAGCCAACAATTGACATTAAGGCTAGGGCCGTGTGTGTGTGTGTGTGTTACTGCCTATCCTTTTCTAAAAAGAAAAAAAACCTCACCTTCTTCACAGGCAATTGTTCCATTGCAGCGCTCTCTGGAGATTCGAGAGACTGCCCTTGATCCAGATCATCCCAGAGTGGCTCAGTCACTTCATCAGTTAGCTAGTGTTTATGTGCAATGGAAGAAATATGGCAATGCTGAGCAGTTATATAAACAAGCACTTGAGATCTCTGAAAATGCTTACGGATCTGATCATCTCAGGATAGCTCGTGAACTTGATGCTCTGGCAACATTATATCAGAAGCAGAACAAGTAAGGAAAAACCATATTGTATCCAGAACCTGCCCCCGCTTCATTTTTAACAAGATCTTTCTTGGGGTGCTGCTAGAATTTTCTTGGTATTGAATTGGCCAAGGAATTGGGTTTGAGAACATTGGGGGAATAGACAGGGAATGAAAGTTTTGAAGATAGGGAATGATTTTAAATAGTTAATTATTGTAAATAATCTTATGGAAACCTGGGAGAAAAATTAGGGAGGATTGGAAAGTAATACAATTCATAAAGCAAATGTGATTGTTGATTGGTTTTACTATATTTCTTAGTTTATGTGTTATCTGCCTCATTCATTATGCAAAACACTGTAACTGATATTTTTGAAATATCATTTTAAGGAATTGTTTCAATTTTGTTTCATCTTAGCTTATTTACAAAAATTAAATGGATTTGCACGAAGTTAATACACTGATGGAAAGGAAGGAGAAAATATCAGAATTCATAAGCTACACTAGGAACTAAAAAAATCATGGAAAAAGAAAAAGAATAGAAAATACTTCTGCCAAGAAAATAATACAGATTAATTCATAGAATCATCAGAATTCAATCAGAAGGAGAGTTCAAGTTCAAACATCCATATTCACAGCTAATACTTACATGAAACCTATACATTAACCTGGGTGTCTGTATTGTGCCAGATTTCTGTGGGCTATTAATGACAGAAGAACTGAAAGAAGAAAACATAAAGATGAAATTAAAAGTCAGGAAAAAGTTTAAATCTGTATATGTTGATGCCTTGCACCAATATTGTAAAAAAGTTATATAGTACTGTATAGTACAGGACTTTTGTTGACTTTTGTTGGAACCAGTACCCATTATATCCTGAGAAATTATGATCTTCTATAAATATTCTACTGCTAAAACTTCTGTTGATCTACTAGTTATTATTAATTGCATTTTTCATTTTAGATTTGAACAGGCTGAACATCTTAGGAAGAAATCCTTCAAAATTCAGCAAAAAATTGCAAGATGGAAAGGCAGTTTGGTAAATACATGTAACTTCACTGTATAGTGTTCAATATCTTTATATAAGCAATGACTGTTGGCTTGAGTCATCATTTTTTTAAAAAATGACAAAGCTGTACTCAGATTAGATTGGCATTCTTGTTAGTATGTATTCAATATGGATTAGAACAGGAGTCGCCAACCTTTTGGACCTCAGGGACCAACTCATAATTTTAAATCCCAGGGACCACTAATATGAATTTTGACTGACGGTCAAAATTGCTGACATTGGTGGGAGAGAGAGAGAGAGAGAGAGAGATCTGATCTAACCTCTCTGTCTCCCTCCCTCCCTTTCTCTCTCTCTCTCTCTAACACACACACAAACACACAGAGGTGGGGTGGGATTCAAATTTCTTAACCAGTTCTGTGGGCATGGCCTAATTTGTGGGTGTGGCTTGGTGATCATGTGACTGGGCGTGGTTTGCATGTAAATATTATAAATATTTATGTAAATATTGATTTTTTTATAAAAAAAAGAGCAATTTTTACCCAAAATCAGGCAAAGCAGACGGAAGATTGAACTGCTCACAGAATCACAGATTCACTTAGAGATCTGTGTTTCTGCCATCGGCTAGCTGAGTCTGCACTGTTTCAGTCCTAAGGAAGGTTCGGCTCTGCTTTTAAAGATCTAAAGATTAGCTAGAAAGCAAGAAATCCAATGGTTTCCTGCTTTCTAGCTAATCTAAATCTCCTGGCAGAACACCTGATAGTCGGAAAAAGGAAAAATAGCAATTTAGCAGACAAGTGTGCCAGGTAAGGAGTGAGTGGGCGGGGAGGGAGGGCCATGTAGGTGGCGCAGCCTGGATTAATTGCTTTGGGGGGTGTTCTGGGGGTGACATTTCTCTGCGGACCACCAAAATTTTCTTGCAGACCACCAGTGGGCCACGGCCCACCGGTTGGCGACCGCTGGACTAGTAGACCTCTGAGGTCCATTCCCACTCTAATGTTGTATTTATATGGTTTTGGCGATTTCAGTAAATTGATTCAAATGTCATTTACAAATACAACTTGAAACTGTTATATCACGTTAGCTATATTAAATTTCCGTACCAAAATAGATTGTTTTGATTCTTTTTTCTCAAAAAGTTTTTAAAAATCAGAAGTATTTTATAATTCTGAAAAAAATGTCTAGCAGTACTATCATTCCTACTTATTTTTCTTTCTCCCTCTCCCTCTATCTTTTTATTTTTAAGAAGGGAGAATTTTCATGCAAATATTCTCTTTTTCTGCCTGTCTCTCTCTCTCTCTTATCTAAATGGATAGATGATTTGGGGGATATATTTATACGTTTTATAGTATAATTTAAACTTCCCTTTCTTTGCTTTAAAATATAGTATAAATTGGAGAGGTAAGTTAGTAATGCATGCATTTTTTGTGGAACAATCCATATTCAGATTCTGTCATGGATTCTACAGGTTGACTTCAAGCATGTTTTCCCTTAGTTTTACTATAGGACATTAGAATATCAAGGCAATAATTTCTTCATTTGCTTTTAGTATGGATTTGCTCTTCTTCGTCAACGATCTTTGCAGCTGGAAGAGCTGACTTTAGGTAAAGATACCTCAGACAATGCTCGAACACTTAATGAGCTTGGAGTTCTCTACTATCTTCAGAATAATCTGGAGTAAGTAATAACCAGGTGACAACTTATATATCTTAAGCTGAAGGGTTTTTTGGAAGCTAACTAACTAGAATAGTTGCATTAATTCTATGCAAGAGTTCCATTTCTGGAAGTAGTGATATTGAATAGCTTTTTAATAAACATATTAAGAATATCAAAGTTTCTACTTCCTTAGAGGATACCAAAATTAATGTAATTAAAATGCACAACCTTTTTGCTTGCATTAACGCATTACCTTTGTAATAAAAACATGAAATGTTGAGTTTATCAAAGTCTTAAAGGAAAACTTGATATTTATTTGCCAGTACAAAGCATGATATTAAAGACAGCTTTATTTTTATGAAGGTCACACAATACCCTATGAATTCAAAATATTTTGGCCAATCACATTTTCTTTTTTTAAAAAACAAATTTTATTAGTTTTTAAAGACAAACAAAACATAAAACATAAGAACATAAAACCTCTTTTCTGAAAGCTACTTGTAAATTTTAACAAGGCAAATAAAACATTGTTTTATGCAGCATTAACACATCTTTTTCAAATTTCTCGTTATTTCTCCCTTTACTTTTATTCAATTATATTTCTTTTCTATATTTATCTATTTTATATGTTTTTATTCATTATACTTATATTTTCATCTGACTTGTTTACAATTATTCTCTTCTAACATTCCTCCAAGGTTTTATTAATTCTCAATCAAACGTAAACACACAAAAACACAAAACATAGAAACATAAAACTTCTTTTTGGAAAGTGGCTTACATCTTTTTGTACAGACCTAAATCAAATTCATGCTCATCTTGTATACCATTACTTATCTTATTTACCATTCTATATTTTCTATATAACTTCTCCCCTCTTTTCACTCTCTTAATTCTATTTTATTTATTTCATCTTAATTTAAATCATTATACTTGTATCTTTTGTCCGTTCTTTTCCAATTATCTATTTATCTCTTCTCTTTAACACAAAATTTCTCCTGTAATCACTAATTGAAGTATGATGCCTTTCTATCTTTCCCCAAAATTTAACACTTGAAATAATACATAATTTCCATTCTGATTCTGCTTAGTACACTCTAAATACTACATTTTAAAATAAGAAAACAACAAACCTATAATATAGTTAGATATATAATTTCCATTCTGATTCTGCTTAATACATTTTAGATACTACCCTTTAAAATAAGAAAATAAGAAAATGACAAGTTTATAATGACATTAAAACAATAGCAAATTAAACTCTATCATTAAACCTTAAGCATTTTAATATTTTAACATTTTATTAAATCTTATAATATTCCAATTTTCTATTTCAAATACAAATACTACAATACAATTGTGTACTTTTGCAGAATCTCTTTTTAATTATACTTTATCCTTTGTCTCTAAAAAAAATCTGCTTTTTCCCATCTTGTTTCAAGCCTTTATGACTTCTTTCCCCCTTTTCCCTTCCTTTCTTATCCAATCTGGCCTTTTTACCCCCCCCCCCTTAACCTCCGTCTTTTTAACCTCCCCTCTCTGTTGTATTCCTCTTTTCTGTTGCTTTCTGACATTGTATCGATTTTTCACCTTATTTTTCTCTTTCTTGGTTGTTTTTTTGAGTCTTAGATTCTCCATTTTCCTTCCCCTCTTCCTCCCTTCTTTCTTGGCTAAAGTTATTTGTCCATTAAAGATGGCTTCTTGTTGTTGTTGTTGTATTTGCTGATAGATAGAAATCGCCATTTCTAAGAAATGAAAAACAGATCCAAAGGAGCCCTTGCCTTCTTGTTCCTCTTCTTTTAATTTTTCAAATTCCATTTTTAATTCTTCCACCGATAATGCCATTGTAAGTTTTTTTCTTCTTCTTTTTTTTTTAAAACAACCCAAATGTTTTTAATCTTAGAGTAGGTTCCAGAAGTCCCAAAGTCATCAAGCAATCCAAACAAACACAAAATGTTTCATTTAGCACCTTCTTCTCTTCACACTTTCTCCTCCTGGGGCAATATCAATTACAAAGTTCCAAAATATATTTTTGAAGTCTTATTGCAGTTAATTTCTAATCTTATAAATTCTCCTCCAGCAAGATCTTAATATAAGTTTTTTTTACCTCTCCCTTCCCACTTATAGCAAAAGAAACTTTTAATTTTTACCTTCTGTACCAAAGCAGGTTTTTCAATGTCCATTTGCTATCTCCATAAGGAAGGAGAGTGAACTTTCCCTTTTAACACTTTCATTCGCCGCTTTCACAGTCTCCTTTGGAAACAATATATCATTCAATTTTTTTTTTTTAGTTCCAGGGTTTTTAGATATATCTTAGGGTCCCAGTTCAGCCAAAGAACTTTCACTTTCTGACACTTCCTCCTGCACGATCTTGTCCGGCTGAAGGTTTCTTTGTGGCGGCCATTGCTGACCGCCGCTCCACCGCCTTAGGAAAAAGGAGTCTAGCCGGCTGGGGAGAGGGGTTGCGATATCCCCAGACCCCTGCCCGGATCTCCTCTGTCTTCCGTTACCTCTACGGGGTAACGACAGCCTCCAAATCCAGCTGGATCAGAGGCACTTCAGCAGCGAGCGCAGCAGGAACCGCGCACAATCGCGGATTCCTGCCGCCGCCGAAGCCTTGCAACTGGAAGTTTTCGGCCAATCACATTTTCTAGATGACCCCAGAATTAGATTTCAGACATGTTATGTTCAGTATGCATGATTTGATTTGATTTAATTTACACTGACCATCTTGCTGTTTGATTATTATTTATTATGCCTTTTTTCTGATAAAAAATCTTAAAGAACTGACCGAGCAGACCAGATCTCTAGCTGTAATTCATGGAAGGGAAAGTAACTATTTTTATTAATAAACCATACTTGTCTCAATTTATACAGATACTAAATTAAAAAGAGTGATTTGTTAATAATAATAATCAGGTACATAGAACTTAGTAAGTCAAAACTAAACTTATACCCTGTTTCTCCAACAATATGGCCTCCCCCAATAGGAAGTCCCAGCATGTTTTATAGGCATGAAATGAAATTAAGCCCCTTCCCCCAAATCAAGGCCTATATTAAAACATGCGAAATGGGGGGGGAATGGTGGGAGGGCTTGCCATTAGGAAGTACTTTTGTTGCACACCCGGATATGGTGCTGCCTGCATTGACCCCAATACAAAGTGCCCCACCAATGCCAAGGTCAACATCCAAGCCGTTGCCACCCACCCACCCAAAGATGCAAGGGGGGGGGGAATTAAGTCACCCTCGAAAAGACAGCCTAGCCATTTTTTCGGGGCTCAAAAAAAAATAGGACCCGGCCTTATTATATGAGAAACACGGTAGCAAGTTGTGTGATTTTCTAATAATACATTATTTTTCAACTGGAATGTGACATGACTTAATTATTATCTTGAATGCAGATTTGTTGCTATCCAGTCATTTTTTGAGGATGAGGGCTGACCTGATTTGTATGACTGAGCCACTGAAGGGAGCCCCCCCTCCCCCCAAATGTGTCTTCTTAGGTTTCGAGTGTGGCATTAGCCATGACTGTAGGTCAGGGGTGGTGGTATGACTATCATTATATGCACATTTCTGGTGGCATGGGTGTCAAATTCGCTGTATCACGTTGTTGTCTTGTGATATTTTGCAATGTTTTCCCCATTCATGGAGCTGGGCATGGCCTGCACTTGATGCATCCGGCCTGCGGGCCAGTCTGACACTCTGCTCTAGGGCATTACTAATTGAAGGACCCTGTTTGTGAGGCTAGGCCATAAGGATCAGTGGAGATTGCTGTTCACTTACCCTCTTCACTTCAAAGTGCTCTTGAAGATTTCTGGGTTTGTGAATATAATGTGCCACTTGTGTGAACTGCATAAGTTCCCAGTTTACTTTGACTGCAATTAAATGTGCTAGTTATCACCTTTAAAGCTTTATATGACACAGACTAAATTATTTGTGGGAATACCTATCCCTGACAGATTCTGCCTATCCTGTCAGATTGGATAGGGTAATCACACTTCCCACTTCTAGTGGTGCTTGGAACATGCTTTCCCATAGATCACCTGCCTTGTAGAAGGTATCTGGCAGGGGTTTTTAGCTTTCTGGAATTTAGCTTTCTTGAGACTATCAAGACCTATATCTATTTATGTCTGATTGTTGGGGAATTCCTAGGGGATAATTGAAATGTCAAGTTTTAGGTTTTGTGTTATGGTTTTATGAACATCCCAGAGTTGTGCTTTAAGACAGGCAGCCATACAAGTCTTTTGAACAAAATAAATGAATGAACAATAAATTGCAGTTATAACTAGCTTGACTTCAGGGGATGAAGATTTCCATTAAAATAAATTAGCAACTTCTCTGTTTGTTCGTGTTACTACGGTGCTGTGCTGTTGTAGCCTGTCGGGCGCCGGCCCCTCCAGCAGCCAAATCAAAGAAGGAGGAGGAGTCATGGGAGTCAGGGTTAGCATCAGGGCAACGTGGGAGCTCCGAGGGTGAAGAGGGAATGGAGCTGGCAGAGAGAGAGAGACAGAGGCAGAGCCTGGGCCATCAGTCATCCCTCAGATGGAAAGTCAACAGCCCCCAGATGGGAGGTAGTTGATGAAGAAGAGGACTGACAACTGAATCCAGTGCCTGACGTGCAGCTGCACAGAAGGCAGAGAAAAGGAAAGCAGTGGAAAACCATGGGCCGATCCTGGGGAAGGAAGAGCCACTGCTGCTAGCGAGGCCCCACCCTATCTCTAGGGATAAAAGACAGGGGGAAGTGATGAATAGGTGTGGCAGACAACTATTCATCTTGGATGAACTTGTTAGTCTGTGAGAGAAACTTTTTGCTGGGGCTGCCGGCATTCCTAATAAACGAATCTTTTGGGTTCATGTCAGAGGATTTCTCATGTTTGGGGAGCTGGGTCAGAACATGTGTCATTGACATGACAATATACACTGATACTTATTTCTAAACTGGCTGATAGGACAGCAGAACTTTTCTTGAAACGCTCTTTGGAAATGAGAGAACGGGTTCTTGGACCCAGTCACCCTGATTGTGCCCAGTCACTGAACAATTTAGCAGCCCTCAACAATGAAAAGAAGAGCTATTACAAGGCAGAGGAATTGTATGAGCGAGCATTGAACATCAGGAGAAAAGCATTAGCACCTGACCATCCTTCTTTGGCTTACACTGTGAAACATCTAGCTGTGCTTTACAAAAAGCTGGTAAGTATTGATGTCTAATATGTTTAATATTATGGATACTTTAGAATGCCAGGAATTTCTGATTATTGATCATCACTGGGTTGGGCTATTGGCATTAGTGCTCCAAGCTGGGAAACAAAATGTTATCTATCTCTGATTATGTACTTCTGGGTATTAATATACCAAAGTGTTCAAACTGAAATTTTATTTCAGAAATATTATTCATTATCTTTCTCCAGAACTATGAAAGCAGTGCATTCGCTCTCTTTGTGAGTCTATGTAGTTGTACATGTGTGCTCATTTCTGTGTCTGTGTGTACCCCTACAAAAATAAATGTATGTATACATAAAAATCAGTTGGTTTAGTTGCAAAATTTAGATTATTTTTTTTAATTAAAATTTTTATTTTAAACAAACATTGACAAACAAAACATAAAACCATCTTCCAGTTACATACAGTGTGTCGGTTGGTTACAAGTCTTTTGTGCTTCATCTCCATAGTCCTTACTTATAGTTTGAATAAATTCTCATATTATCCATCTAGTATATGTATATATATATATATATGTATTATTATCATTGTTAATGATTTATTTGACTATAACTATTATTCCATCATTTTATGTGAGACATTCAACATTTTGGATTAATTTATATTATAACGTTCAATACCCCATCATAAAGCCATCCAATAATAATACATCCTGATGTTATATCCTCTATAATTCTATTATCTTTGTATTATAAAGTTATCTAAGATATATCATTTCCATATTTTTTATCTAACCATTGATAAAATAAATCCCATATTGTTTATCTTCTTGTTCTCTAATTTCAAATGTCAATTTACTCATTTCAGCACATTCCATTATTTGCTTGTTATTTTCTCATTTTTCCAATTTTTCGAAAACACAATTCTGGCTGCTGTTAATACATTTACAATCAAATATTTCAATTCTCTACTATATATTTCTGGTAAAATCAGTCAATATGTCTTTTTGTCATTTTTTTCCAACCATGTGTGGATTGTAGTTCAATATCTTTTTGCCTCTACGCACGTCCACCACGTATGGTAAAATGAATCTGATATCTGATGACATTTCCAACACTTTTCAGATTTATTCTTAAATATTCTTGCTATTCTCGTCGGGGTAAATGCCACCTGTAAAACATCTTATACAAATTTTCTTTATATGCTGTTGACATTGTCATTTTATAATTTTGATACCACAATTTGTGCCATTTCTCTAAATCAATCCCGTATCCAAAATTCCCTCCCCATGCAATCATTGTTTCTTTAACTTGCTCTTTCTCTAATTTAAACTCTAGTAAATGTCCATGAAGTTTTTAAATTACCTTTTCAGTACCTGTCAAAATTTTATCTAAATCAGTCAACTTATCATAGAAACCTTCTGTTTTAAGATCTTTATCAAATATAGATTGTATTTGTACATATGGAAACCAATTCATCTTTATACCTTGTTCTTCTAATATTTGCATAGATTTAAGTTCACCCTTTTCATTCAATATCTCTCCATATCTAACTGTTTGTTCCTTTTTATATGTTATTGGATAAGAAAAAGCTTCAATAACCAAAATGGAATTTTCAAATAATACTGCTTTTTAATCTTCTCCCAATTTAATAACAATGCCTCTCGAATATGTCTTCTAAAATACCCCTGCATTTTAGTTCCCTTATACCAGAGGAAGGCAATAAAGTCAATAATCTACTGTTCTAAAGTCAATAATCTACTGTTCCTTAATGTTATCCATTCCTTTACCCACATCAAATTTGTTGCCTGATAATATAATTCCCAATTGGGCAAAGCAAATCCTCCTCGTATTATTGCATCTTGTAACAATTTAAGTTTTATTCTTGCTTTCTTTCCCTGCCAAATATATTTCAACACTATTTTATTTAAATCTTTAAAGTACTCTTTCCCTAACCTAATTGGAATTGTCTGGAATAAATATAAAATTCTAGGTAATATGTTCATCTTAATTGTTGCTATTCTCCCTATTAATGATAGTTGTAAATTTTTCCATTTTGCCAAATCTGTCACGATCTGTTGTTTGAGTTTATGATAATTATTCTCTTTGAGTGTACCACATCTTGCTGTCAAGTATATTCCCAAGTATTTTACCTTATTTGTGACCTGGATCTTCAAAGTTTCCACCAATTCTTCCCTCCATTTTACTAACATGTTCTTTGTCAAAATCTTTGTTTTATCTTTGTTTATCTTTAAACCTGCTACCATTCCATATCCCTCTATCTTTTATATCAATTTACTCGCTGTTTCTAATGGATCTTCTAATATAAAAACCAGATCATCTGCAAATGCTTGTAATTTGTATTCTTCCTTTTTAATTTTCATTCCTTTTATTTCTTTCTCTTCTCTAATATAAATAAAATATCCTTTTATTTCTTTCTCTTCTCTAATATCTCTATTTAATACTTCTAGTGTTAACACAAACAACAGAGGTGACAGCGGGCAACCTTGTCTTGTACCTGTCAATGCATTCTGTCAATTCCCTATTTATCATTACCTTTGCGGTTTGTTCATGATATATAGCTTCTATGGCTTGGATAAAATTCTTGCCAAAGTCCATATGTTCCGATTGTAATAACATAAATCACCAATTTACATTGTCAAAGGCTTTCTGTGTATCTAAAAATATCAGAGCCATTTGTTTTTCAGGATGTGCCTCATAATATTCCAATGTGTCCAGAATAATTCTCATATTAACTTTAATGTGTCTCTTTGGTAAAAACTCATTTTGATCAGGATGAATAAAGTTATTTAAATATCTTTTGAGTCTTTCTGCCATTATTGAACTGAAAATTTTATAGTCTGAGTTCAATAGGGAAATAGGTCTATAGTTCTTGATTTGTTGCAGGTCAGCTTCCTCCGTTGGCACAAGTGTAATATATGCTTCTGTAACATGACTTCATTCAACAATTCCTGAAATGTCTTATAAAATTCAGCTTGCAATCCATCTGGGCCAGGTGCTTTTCCATTATTTTGTCTTTTTAATGCTTCAGTTAACTCCATCATCGTTATATTTCCTTTTAACATCATTTCAATATCTTTGAGGTAAATTCGCTTTCTGCAAATATTGTTTAATTCTTTCCTCCTCTATGTTCTCTTGCTCATAAATTTTTCCATAATAGTTCTGTATATTTTTTTTCTTCTATTTCCATAGCAAATTTGCCCTTGATCATCTATCAATTGTATTATATTTCTTGATTCCTTCTCCTTTTTCAATTTATATACTAACTATCTACCTGGTTTATTTGCATCTTCAAAATAATTCTGTTTAGCGCCTCTAATTTTCTGTGCTAATTCCTCTTTTTCCATTAGCCCCATTTTATGTTTAACTGTGTCCATTTGTATTTTAACCTCCTTTTTTAGTGGTGATTTCTGTAACTCTTTCGCAAGTCTCTTATAATCATCCTCTAGTGTTTTCAAAGCCTGTCTTTTCTTCTTATTTCTTATCTTTGTATAATCTATTATCAGACCCCTGGAATAGGCCTTCATTGTATCCCAAAGGTTTTGTATTGTTGTATCCTCCGTTTTATTTTCTTTAAGAAAGAAATCCAATTCTTTCTCCATTTTCTGTGTAAAATCCTTTTCTTTTAGTATAGTATTGTTTAAAGTCCATCTAGATTTTTCCTTTGTCCCTTCCACTTAGTTCCACTTTGTCCCTTCCACTTAGTTGTCATTGTCACTTATGGTCTGCCCAAGTACCTGCTTCTATATCAATTTCCTGTATAATAGTAATCAATTCTGTTGACATCCATATCATATCTATTCTAGACCATGATGAGTGTCTATTTTTAGTATTTCTTTCTTTCCAAGCATCTTTTAAATTTAATTCATCTGTCATTTTGAAAAAAGATTTTGGAAGAGTCTTTCTACTTTGCTTTATTGTTTTCTGTGTTTTATAGTCCAATTTCTCATTAACAATTCCATTGAAGTCCCCCATCATGCATATATTATCATAGTCTAGATCAATTATTGTCCTGTGTAATTTCCTATAGAATTCTTCTTGATTATCATTTGGAGCATAAATTGATATTAAAAGTAATTTCACATTATTGTCTATTATTTCCACCATCAAGATTCTTCCATCATCATCCGTATAGATTTGTTCCGCTGTAATTGTGTCTCTAATATATAAGACTACTCCTCTTTTCTTGGATCGTGTCAACAAAGTAAATATTTTCACTAGTTTTGACTGCATCAGTATTTGTTCATATTGTTTTTTAATATGCTCTTCTTGTAGGCAAATTATGTCGAATTTCAGTTCTTCTAATTTATGAAATATTTTTCTTCTTTTAACCGCCGAATTAAGACCATTTATATTAATTATAATCCATTTTTTCTCTTCCATATTTATACTTTATAAGAGGGATTTACTGCTCTAGTAGATCTCTGTTCTCGTTGTTCTCTAGGTTCCACTCTGCCTCCTAATGCACCTTGTTTTTTTTCAATCACTTCTAGGCATTCCTCTTAGAATTTAATTATTACTTCTTCTCTTTCCTCTCTTCCTCTTTCCCTCTGAAGAATTCTGCATAAAATAATTCTGCTTTTTCAATTGAATCTATTCTATGTCTTTGTTCTTGCCATGTAAACACAAGGCCTTCTGGTATCAGCCATCTGTAATTCACGCCTTTCTTAAGTAATATTTTAGTCAGGAATTGATATTCTCTTCTCATCTCTCTCACTCTTCTAGGTATTTGTTTCAGAACCACAATCTCTTTGTCTTTATATTTCAGTGTTTTCTCTCTTACTATCTGTAGCATTTGCGTTTTTTTAAACAAATTTTATTAATTTTCAAAGACAATACACAAACAAACAAAACATAAAACGTAAGAACATAAAAGATCTTTTCTAAAAACTGCTTATTGAGTTTTAACAAAACAAATAAAACATCTTGTTTAAGTAAAGCATAATTCCAAATTATCACATTTCCATACAAACACAATTTAATATGCATCTTATGTATTCAACTTCATAT